GTGCCCGGGAAAACGGTCTAATGTTAGAAAGGCATATGACAACAATGGCAGAGGACGCAGTATGGTGCAGATCGTCTTGAAAACGAGGTCAAACCAACATGACAAGGCTCTAAAGATTATAATCGAAAGTATGAAGACCAAGATGGTGTGGCCTTTTGTGTGGTCGCAGTCTCCTTTCGTTGTATGGAGGTTGTTTGACCTTGTTTTCGCAACATGGTCATATTGGTAGAAAGACTTAGAGGAACGCACCTAGTCTGGAGTCCACTCTATGCATCATCATTTCCAGAGTAGGACCGTGGACGTGGTACATTCCCAGACGTTTCGCCGGCATCGTCAGTGAGTCTCGCCATTCTTAGCACCATACAACAACTCGTCAAAGAGACAAGTGAAGCCGATCCTTTGACCAAGCGTATGCTAAACAGTTGTTGTATCTCCCCTTCTGCCCTGGGCTATTCACATTTGCCACTCGAAGGAGCACACTACCTTACATCAAAATAAGCACGGTAAAAATTGTGACAGGGAAGGTGTGATAGGATGATTTAGGAAATGTGAATAGCCCAGGGGCAGAAAGGAGATACCACAACTATTAAGCACACGTTTGGTCAAAGTATCGGCTTCACTTGTCTCTTTGACGAGTTGTTGAATGGTGCTAAGAATGACGAGACTCACTGACGATGCCGGCGAAACGTCTGGGAATGTACCACGTCCTACTCTGGAAATGATGATGCATACAGTGGACTTCAGACTAGGTGCATTCCTCTAAGTCTTCCTACTAATATGACCATGTTGCAAAAACAAGGTCAAACAACCTCTATCTAAAGATTATATTTCACGTTCATAAGTAGGGTTTCGAGACTACCACCCTGGATGAGAACACTTTTTAGAAAAGCAAGGCTGTATGAAATTCAATAGAAACGTCAGTTCTAATCATTGGAAATTCAACTACCGGTCCTTCATCCTCTTAAACAATAGGGTAAATACATTTCATCTAAAGATTATATTCCATTTTGCAGTAGCAAATCGGATTTAGTAGGAATTAATGAAAATGATCTAAAGGCCTTTGGATTAATAAATAATTAGTCAAGGTCCAAACCCAGACTGAAGCCTTTTTACAAAATATGTTCGACAGACTGCTAATTCGTAATACTCTAAAGGGAAGGAAGTGAGAAAAATCGAAATGAAGATATGGCACTTGCCTCAGTCCACCAGGAGTCGACGAAAAAAGAGGCCGGAATAACCAAATGGACAAGATGAGAGAAGAGCGAAGTGTAATTCTGACAAAGTAAAGCAACAGTTGGGTTAGCAAGGCTATGCAGAGACTGGGCAGAAACAAGGCGAAAAGATGAAGCACAATGCTAGAAATACTGGATCCGCACATAAACGAAGGCGCAGATGATAAAGCAGATTGAAAATTGACAGCAGTGTCGGCTGAGGCGGAGTAGCTGGTAGGAGCTTTTAGACCTCGCAAAGAGACACTAGGTAGGAGACCAAAGTGACGGGTCAGCTGGAGACTACGGAAAGCAGGCTGCGGCTGAAGTAGATTAGCGGCGAATTCTGGCAGCCATAAGATGCTGGGGCTGGGGAAAATTAAGAAAAGTCGAGATCTAAAGAAACCGAGATTGTAAAAGCAGCGTAAAAGCATAGAGAAAAAAAGATTAAAAAACGATTTAATTTCATGAAATTTATATTTTTCTTGTAGTGAAAAATGTTAGCTTAAAAAATTCCACGGAGCGAGAATGCAGCTGGGGAACAAGGGAAAAACGCGATGGTGGATATATAAAAAAGCTGCAAAAAGCAAGAAGTTAAGCAGCATAAGATATTTGTACATAAAAATTCATAATAAGAATGAATTACACTAACCTGGTCGAGATTTGAAAACAAATTATTGAGTGTAAAGGCGGAATTTCAGAACTTTGGACATTACCGCCCAGCAGCAGCTACCAAATATAAATTCTAAGAATAAAAACAAATGGTGTGAGTTGAAATGATTCAGTGTCTTATTGTCTATTTTGATGTGTATTACTATATCTCAGGCAACAATGCGAGTGAGTTCATGGAAAGCTTTGAGACCTAAATGAAGAAACATACCATAAAAGTACGCTGATAGTGATAGACCAGGTTATAAAAACAGCCAGCAGATGAAATGCAACCGAGTCGATGAAAGAAAGCCGAAATGATTCAGGCCCGGGACAAAGAATAACAGTGGCCTGCTGTAGCCCGGTATTCTTAACTGGTGACCGAAATTCTGCCGACGACAGGGGCAAGTTAGATGTGACTGGAGGATTGTTGGTTGCAGTGGTGGTACTAGGCAGGAAACGACGTCGTAGGAACTGGTACAACCAAACGCTCCTGCGGGCAGGTGCTAGATACAGGGTGAAGAGGAAAAAGGCAAAATAGACGAGGCAAATAAAGTGAGTAGCAGTTGATCATGTCGAGGAGAATAGGCTGAGAGAAGCTTTAATTAATGAATAAATAAAGACTTTTTAAGGAATTAGCAGCGCAACAAAGGTTTTGAGTCGATTGTAGTTATTGCTCATCATCTTTCAAGCATGCCTTTCTATAATAAAACTGTGATAGTCAGACAGCCTAGAGATTGTGAGATTTATTTAGATGAGCAGCCATCCAGCTCAAATGCCAATTACTTTTGGACAATGGCCATAGTAGTAAATGTTATAAAGCTAATTTGCAGGCTTTTAGATTCAAATGTCTTATTTTACAAAAAAGGTTATAATTAGTCTAATGGCATAAGTTATAAAATTTCTTATATATTTTTGAAATACAGTGACACACAACTATCAGTCCGTCATACACTTATGCAACGTAGAGGTACAATAACTTTTACTCAAGGTATACTGATAATCCTGAAACCTACTTAATATGAATACGATGGTACTCAGACGGCTAAATAGTTAATAGGTATCCTCGGCCAACTGAATTTTGCCACTAGGAGTGGATCGGTTCAGCTGTGGTTTGGTACAAGAAAGGGGAACGAGGTGAAAATTAAGAGGCGTATGGCGAGAAAAAATCTAGGGGACTATACAGACAAATATAAAAAATAGGTTAAACTAAACTGGTAGGCTCTTCACTGTCCTGATGTAGTGGAGGCTGATTCCAGTTCAAATATGAAGTCGCGGAAGTGGAAAAATACGGCAAAGTGTTGGGTCCGATAGGCGTCTTAACTGCAACATTCTGAGTTGTAGAAGAGTGCACAGGACAGGCCATTGGACAGGGCTGGTTTCGAGCTAAGGAGAAAAGAACCCGAACCAGAAGACCCAATGTCAATCGTGTAGGTTGGTTGCAGCAAGGCTGGCATTTGGTGTCTGCTCTAATCAGATAACCTTGCCTCTCGTGAGCCTCCTTCATCTCTACATCATCCCTGAAATCCTCTTCGACGGTAGG